TCTTTCCTTCTCTCACTTTTTAATATTGAATATTTCATTGCAACATGATGTATCATCACCCAGGAAAGTGACATGAGATAAATTAGAAGCACAACAGCCAAAAATCCACTCTTACTTGTAATTTAATACCTTGAGCACTGACCTTGCGTAAGATGCTTGCTCTATATCCAAGGGAGAAAGAACATAATCTTTTGTTGCATTTCATTTCATATTCTCTTTGATAACTCCAAGTGTCCCAGGATATGAAATCCTGATTGCAGACGCAACTTGCGGTAGTGTGGCACCATATAAATTCTTGTTTCGGGGCCTGGACTGCACAAGTGAGGTCATTCTTTTGACTAAATATGAGCTATTGGATCTGACCCCTTATATTAATAAATAAGAAGGTTAAGGAGACAAGTCTGATTGCTGGCTTCCAATATAATAAACAGGGCAGGAGGGCAAAGAGGGAGAGATTGTACTTATGGGCTGCAGAGGAAAAGAATACTGAAGACTTAAAAAAAAAAAAAAAAAAAGTCAAAGTCGTTTGCATGATTCCATGTGGAGCACTAGGGGCTTTTCCTGAATTTATAATAAAAGGTGACAGCAGCCACAGAAATCGCAGCGGAGACAGGAAGCCCTGTCAAATCTCTGCTGTGTGAATGCGATCATTCGCTGCAGCTTTTAGCAGGGATTGAAGCAGAGAAAGCAATGGCCTCCATTACAAAACAAGAGGCACCTGATTTTTATTAAAAATCAGGCGTAGTAAAGGTAAATTTTGAAGTGTCATAAAGGCACCACCAATTTCTGCCTCTGTCCTATATAGCCATCCCGAAAAAGGGGGAGAAGTGAGTGCTAGTGACAAAGAAAAATAGAGAGTAGACAACTTTCATCTCCTGTCCATTTTGAGAGCAGAAGCCTTGCTACACCTGTGCTTGCTTCAGGGAGCGCGACTCCCCCAGCCCTGCACTGCTGCTGGGGATGCTGGCAGGGGCTGGGAGGGTGCAGTGAAGCCAATGGCACCTTGCTGTGCCAATGTGTGGGGTGGAAACAGAGAGATGGCTGTCGCCAGCAGCCAGATGGTGCTTGATGGGTCTGTGGGTTTTCTACAAGGGCTGGCCGCACATCCACACAGCCCCTGTGCCCTGTCCCAAAGCCACTACCTTGTGTCCTGTCCCACCTCTTTGTGCTGAAGCCAAGGCTATGACTTTCTTGAAAGGCAGACCAGAATTTTGTCTTAGAAAACACTAGAATTGGTTTTCACATACACAGTGTTTTCCAAATACTGCTTAGTGTTGAAAGAAAATATAAAGTCTTTTAATGCAGGGCAGTTCCCAATGTCTTCTTTAATTTTCCTGTTTACAAAGGGGAGTGAGAGGCAGGTAAGCCCTGATTTTAGGTTCATTTATCAATCATTTTTATCACAAGTTTTTAGGGCTTTTTTTTTAGCTTAAATGAGGATTTTTAAAAACAAATCACAACCCAAGCAACTAGAGACTAAACTCTAGCTGGTGAGAAGAGAACACAAAAGGAACAGAAAGGAGGCACATTGGCAAAAATTTCATGCTCAAGCCCATCGTACCTCCAGCACCATCATACCTCCAGCACCAGTTTTTCGGGCCATCAGTGTAGAGCAGTAGCCAGAGCTAAGCTGCACTGGCAGGTATGTCTTTCCTTGTTAGCTTTCCTTCTCCTGCTGGGAGCTCTACCTGTCACTAAGGTTTATTTCCAGGTGGCTGTGCTGCTCCAGTACCCGCAAGCCAGGAACCTCCACGAAGCCGAAAAGGACTGGGAATCGCATCCGTGATGCAATGCACCATGTTGTGGGCTTTTGACAGGCCCACAGGGTCACAAATGCAAGCTTAAAAAGATTCTTTGTGGCCTTCAATATCACTTCAGCAGCTTGTGCATTGGCCAGACTGTATCCTGTGACTCACTGATACTGGCACTTAAAAGCCAAGCCAAAACACAAAAGACTTTGGGCTGACAATCAGACTACTCCCCACACCAAGCACAGCGGGAAAGCTGCATCAGTAGAAGTTGTAACCACTAAATGAAAGGGTAATTGCTCTCCAGGCAGCTTAGCAGGCTCAGGTCTGTGAGGGGTAGCTTTAAAGAAGAATTTGCACAGAGAAAGCACGCAGGCTGTTTCATAGGAGTCCCTTTTTAGTCAAGGAAACCAAGGGAAGAAAAGGCAAGTTCTAATCATTTGTCACAGTTCAGTATGCTCTAAATATCAACTCTGAGAACATTGGTGTACCACTGACTGCTGAGTTAAATATCTGGAGTATTTCTTTTTAATTTTTTGCGTCAATTAAGTATAAAAAATTGAGTATTTCAAAGCTCCAGTTCAGCAAAAGACTTGAACAAATATTTACAGTGTAGTTCACAGACATAAAAGGGAGACTGAATTTCATCTTAAGTTTACTGAGCTCCTTTTGGATGTTATTATACTTGTTTAAATTAATCCAACTACTTCCTGGATACATGGGATTTTTTAAAAAAAAAATTCTTTTTCTAGAATCCAATCTGATGCGCTGGGCCAACACATGTTATTCTGAAGATTTATGGGGAATAAAAGTATTTCCTAATATTGATGCAGGGTAGTTAGTACCACCTCGCTGCTTTCAGTACTGTGACTCATAATAATATAGAACATAATTAACTGTAGCATTGTAACATATATACAAATAAAAAACACTCTGATCACATAGAATCATTTATTTTTGATTAAATACTTATTAAAAAAAAAACACAGAAGAAAATAAAAAATTAAAACTCTTCCAAATCATCTCTCCCAATTACAGGGAGATTCAAATCCTATGTAATGGCTTCAGATCACCTCCACTACAAATTAAAGGTATAAAATTCTTTGTGTAAGATTCTAGGGCAAGATTCATTAAAGATATGTAATATGGAAGGATGAATAGCTCTGCTTCCCCAAACCGACAAATCCATAACCCGAAGTAGTCTTTTTGATCTCCTTTTATTGCTCCACACTGTTTTACAGAAATGTAGCATACAATAACTCAGAAGTATCTCAATGAAATTATCACTTACTGTTTGTTGTGCTGCCACTTTTATCTGCTGCTGCAGTGGTCGTTTCTGTTGGTAGTTGTATTCTTGTACTTTGTGTTATTTGTTTTGTAGTACTAGGTGAAGAAGGCTTGGAGCCTAATAAAGGAATGACATTCAAATTATTTCCTCAATTTTGTATACACACATATGCACACACACAAAACGCACCTATTGCCCTGCTTGCAGCCTAGTTTTACATTATCAAAAGAATATTTCATTTAAATTGAAGATCAACAGGGACAGGGCTCCCTTTGCTGCAGAGAAAGCCACTCCCTGTCCCATAGGTGGGTCATCCCACTGATAACAAGCCTGTGATAATGCAGTTACAAGGCCTGGCTTGGAGCTGCTTTGAGCCTGACCAGGAGGAAGCTCCTGCGCACACCTGCAAGATTTCACCAAAGAGTTCACTATCTGTAAAACAAATTCTCAAGCCAAGAGGCACTGCTGCTTAATTTCCTGAACGACCACTGGAACAGCATCAACAATTAGCTCAAAGAAACTTCCACTTACTGCTTGTGATGGATTCATTTGTACGTCTGATTGCAGTTGTTGTCAACACTGACATTTTCAATGTTGCTGCTTGTGAGGTTGATGTGGTCACAGCTTCTGTTACTGCAAGAAAGGCATTCACATCTTTATTGATTTATTTTATCATGCATAAATAAACATCACATACCTCTAGCTGCCTTTTCTCACAAAGGCAGTGAGTTTCTGTCTAAAGTCTGGCCCTTAGAGAGCCTTCTTATCCACACATTTTTAAAGAGGATTCAAAGTGCATGTGGTTGGTATCAAAGGGGAGGTTTGGCCTGTGGACAGTCCACACTGAAAGTTAGCAGCTGTAGCTTATAGCCATCCCCTAAGGAAGAGGTGTATGCTCTTTGGGAGTTATACAGAGGTGCTTGGCATGACTGCCAAGGGAAGAGGTGAGGGGAAAGGAGCCTGGCATCAATGGATGGGTTCACTGTGCTGCTGGACTGGACTGCCGACTAGCACTTTGCTGCATACATGTTTAATAGGAGGAGGGATGTAAACTCCCCAGAAAGAAGTGCAAGTTACACACAGGAGCACAGCTTATATATTACAGGTGAAGAACTGAAGGGGAAGAGACTCTCATAGTCTTTGCAATGTTTTCCTCTTCTCTCTGCTGTTCACCTCGAGCCCGGGTTGAGTCTTCTTCTCTGGCTAGCTTTCCCAGACCTTCCTCCTCTGCACCCAGATTTCTGGAGAAAAAAGAGCACCCAGCAGGCCTTTCACTGAGGTGTGCAGCAAAGCTTAGGATGTCTTGGATGAGATGAATAAGTGATATTCCCCAGGGTGAACCTGGTGCCCTTTGTAAGGTGGCTCCTGGTAGTTATCTTCTCCAGAGGGGTGAGATTTGGAGGCTGAGGGGAGAGGAAAGGGCTCCCTCGGGCAGCAGGGATCACTTCCAGCTGCTGCTGGTATGGGAAGAGGGAGCACAGTTGCCCAAACATCACTAAGGCAATAGCAAGGTTTAAATCAGCGTGTCTTGCTGTGCATGGATGGCATACTGCAGGTCCTATGTCCCCCTGGCACATGCTCAATGGAACAGACTGGCCAAATTGCTGCCCAGGGATCTGGGCTAAAAAAAACATAACTAATCATTTTAAGAGCCCAGTTTTCAATTCTGTAATCTAATACAAACAGAAAGTGCTACTGTCAGCTACAGAGGCTCATTTCAATCCCTGACAACAACCCAATATGTGTCCTACTACCTCTTCTAGTACTTTTCATGGATGGGAAACATGATAGGCTAGGAACAAATCATGACATGACATGTCATTTTTCCTCATATGACTTGAGTATTTCTAAATGCCATGTTCACACCAGAACTTTTAAAATATAACTTACACTCTCTTCCTCCACTCTCAGTTTGCTGGCTGTTCACCTAGAATAGCAGTGTCTCAAAGAATGGACACTTGGGCGCTCGCTCCACACCCACAAAGTGCTTTAATCTCATAGTGGGCTTCTGATGCTTTTCTCATAGGCATAAATAACAATACTGCTTTCCCTTCTGTGACACAAAGCTGCAAGAGAAATTTCAGTGAAACGTTTGAAGAGCTCATTCACTGTGAGGTGTTGGGCCTTTATTAAATGTTTTTCAAACAGACATGAACATCAGGGCTTTTGAAACATAAAAGAACTGCAACACAATTTGAAAGGGACTAATTCTTCTGCTGTAATAAACATAACATATGCATACTTGACCTGGCTGCATCTTATTCACCTCCATTACTAGCACTTAAAGTGTATACATCATTATCTCAGTGCTTTTAGCTCCAAAACAAACTTATTAGTATCTCTAGTTATCAAAAAATATAATCCTGTGTCCAAGTTTTCTTGTCTCATCACATTGATGATCAGCATCAATGCAGCAGTCTTCAATATTCAAACTAATAGAGGAGCTGATATTTAGCTCACCTGAATGAAATATGGTCAATATTGATTTTTCATAACTACAAAGCTACAAAATAAAGAGAACTGAATGTGTCAGTTGAAGATGTAAACCAGAATCACAGACTTTTACCATATGAAGCAGATATTTTCTGTGTTAAGTCTTCATAGTTTTCGGACTTTAAGTTTGATCTAGTAAAAACAATTACAAGCAAAAGAGAGAGAGAATGCAGCTTTTGAAACTGAGGGCACTGGTGCCACCCCCTTACCCCCAAAAGTGAATCTCGATGTCAATAGTTACAAGAAGTTACCAATAGCATTCTTGAAAATAACAGCTTTATACACATGTATTCTTTCCTATTAACTGAGGCCCAACACTGGCATATATTGTGTAATTCTTTACTATTAAAGTCCATGTCTTCTTCCATCATCCTACACCCATGAAATCAGCTACTCCCTGCTGCCCGATCCCTTAACTGATGCTGTTTCCCAAATTTTTTCAATCTGACCACCTCTTGAACTATAAGTCTTAGCTAATTTTTTAATATCTGATCACACTTGAACCACTCCTTCAGAGCATAGGAACTCATAGAATTTCAGCCTTTTTCATCTGAAACAAAAAATGCAGCCTGTTCAAATTAACTCTCTCCTTACTAAGATCCTCAATCCTTTCTTCTCAACAGACTTTATAAGAGGCCCAGGGAAATACATTGCTTTACAATCACCTTACATGAAATAATTCACCTAATTTTCCCCAGAAGTTGGAAAAGCTTGTCCTGGTTTCCGTTGGGATAAAGTTAATTTTCTTCCTAGTAGCTGGTATAGTGCTGTGTTTTGGATTTAGTATGAGAATAATGTTGATAACACACTGATGTTTTAGTTGGCTAGTCGATGCCGTGTGACGTCATGCCCAGGATATGAACTGGGTGAGTTGGCTGGGGGGGTGGCGATTGCTGCTTGGGGATGGGCTGGGCATTGGTCAGTGGGTGGTGAGCAATTGCATTGTGCATCACTTGTTTTGCGTATTCTTTTATCATTATTATTAGTAGTATTATTATTATATTGCTAAAAAGGCAATGGGAGCTTCAGAATACCAGATGACAGTGAATTTGAACCCTTACCAGGTTTTGATGTTGATGCAGAAACGGTTGCATTGACGGTACTGGTCAGAATATCATCTTCTGAAATAAACACAGAAAGAATCATATTACTTCAGCCACCTTCCAGACCTATTTAGCACTACATAGGCGTATAAGGCAGAAAGCAGCAAGGACCTTCCTGGAAAATCAAGTTCAGAAGCCTATTAGGAGAAGCAACCAAATCATACAGCTCTGCTAGCAACCTTTTCAAGCTGTATCCTAAATCTCTCAGCTTTGCCCTCACTGGTGTAACGGGGAACATCTGCTACAGCCTCCCCCCTTGGGCCATGGGTTGTTTTCCAACAGGTATTAGTGTCTCTAAGACTAGTTTGGAAAAAAACCTGGAGCAATTAAAGGTTTTTTGCTAGCTCCTCCTCTCCTTGAGTACAACAACAGTTGCTCTGGGTGTTCAGGGTGGAGGATTAACTAAAATAACTGGCTGCAGGAGTAAGCATCCTTTCTCCTGCCTTGGAGGAACAAAATTGTACTAGCTCCCTGGCTAGTACAAGCACTTCAGGAGTGGTTTTCAGTATCACCCTGATCCCGATTAAAGAGGAGAAAACACAGAACATGATGGCTTGGGAAGCACTGAGTAATGACCGATTTTCCCCACTGCCTTCAATGCAGTGCTTCAGCTGTTGGGAGTTTACTGCAGTAAATGATGCTACTCTTAAAAATCCTAGGTCAAGTTAGTAGGTGAAAGTCTCCAATATTACAAAACAAACAAACCAGCCAAAAAACGCCCCCACCAATCAAAAAGCAAAACAATTTCTATATCTTCTGGCTGTGCTGAGAAGTAGTAACAGCATAACTCAACTAGAGTTTCAGCTTCAAATAAGATTTTCAGTCTTATTTCTGGAGTGTCCATGTTATTATTTCTGGGGTGTCTAACTATAAGAAGTTAAGAGGGTGATGAAGGGGGTGAAAAAACTACATTGAGTCAGAAACAGTGGCATTTCACAATCATTTTAGACCACTGTGAGACAAGGATGGATAGATTTGGGGAGGAAGGGATCAGCTCTGTGACTGAATGGGAGAGCAAAATGGCACAGACTAATCCCCCAGTGCTTTCAGGTTTGGAGCGTGACATCCTGTCAGGCTGCATTAGCATGCTGTAATATAGACGTCGCAAAACTGAGTCAGGACAGCATGTCACTATTCTTGTGTGACTCTGTTCATGGTAATATCTGCTGGCATTCTCTCTTTTTTTGGCTACAGGGCAGAACAGTCAGCTTTGTTCCCTTTGCTCAGCGTGCTGCACTCCGATTAACATTTCATGAGCACCACCGGAGGCCTGCCAGAGTCACAGATCTAACCTGGAAAAAAAAAAATACATACTACAATTGCAGGAGCTCTGCAGGCACATATTAAGGCCTAGTCAGATGAGCCCTTACAACTACTCTTCAAGCAGTGTAAGGCGTTATCGGCCCTCTTGGCACCTGCACATTTCTAATGGGCCTCAGCTGGGTTGTTGCCCCTTCCCAGTGAAGCCCACTCCCCTGGGCACCTCCTCTAGGTACGCTGCTGCCTTTGCAATGCCTCGTCACAGCATGTGCTGGCCAGTTTGGTATGGGTATATCCCATATCAAATTAAATCTGTTCCCTATGGGCCTGCTGCTGCCCCAGCCCTGCTCCCCAGGACACATGAATACAGTCAGGCTATGCAGAGCCCTTTGCCCAGTGCATTTAAAATACTGTTTTTCCTGCCATTTAGTTACCAGTCAGAATAATGCTTCATAACCCACACTTGAAATACTTGGAAAACAAATTTTATCCAAACAGACCAAAAAGCAATCTTGTTTCCCTAAACAACGGACATTTTTCCATCTCTTCATTCTCATTAGGAGCTGCTGACAAATCTCCTGTAACTCCCCACGCCATGAGGCCACAGCACTAAACCAGAATGTTTTTTCAACAGTGCCTACATTTCATCTGGTTTGTTATAACATCTCTCAGTAGCTACCATGTCTGTAACACCAGCTAAATGCACTAGCTGGCCAACTAGCTCATCCCCTAACTCTTCCCTTACTCAGCATGACTTCGTGGAAAGCCCACTGCGATACTTGATTATTCATCCTTTAAAGGTGTTCCATTTAATAACCATGATGATAGGCTGAGATTTCCTCAAAACTATTGAGATTTTAAGTCACAGTTTTGTTATGATTCACAATTTGTTGATTTTATCACAGGCCAGAGATAAACTAAGGTAAATTTGATTAGCAGAGTAGAATAAAGTGGAGTTTTATGAATTAATTGTTGTCTTAAAATAGTGGATAATTAAGTACACTTTAAAAACAACTTGAAAGCAACATGCAAAAATGCTTAAAACTAGCCAGGATTTCGGGGGGAACTGGTTGATTAAAAGAAGCAATAGAACTGGTGGCTTATTATGCTCTTATTTGCAATGTTAAGTTGTGACTAAGGAGAATCCTATGGGGGCTAAAAGCAAGAGATCAAAAAAGATTGAGAAAAGAACTTTGGCCCAATTAGAGACTGTTGCTAGACAGAGAGACAGAAAGATTAATTTTCCTGCTCATGTCAGGTTGGCTGCAGCCTCAGATGACGGACAACCAATTAAGTTACAATTGCATGGTTTTCAGCAAAATTAGATGCAGCGATCCCTTTGATATGAGAGCACCTCTATGTACTCTGATGTGGGAGTAGCCAAAATCTACTCGCCAGCTGCTCCCACACACAAACCTCTCCCGGTTGCCATGCTCCCTGGCAATAAACTCAGCCAAAAGAGCGTAGGTGACCTGTGATGGTAGCACCCTTGTGTCTGGAGAACGCGCGCAGAGCTAAAAGGTGCTCAGATGTGACAAAGGGCTGAACAAAGGGATGATTTCTTTCCAAAAAGAAAAAAAAAATCTAAAAATAGATAACAAGGCGAGAAGAACTGGGAGAAAGATAATAGGACAGGAAGAAGATGAGAGGGGAAGGGCAGGAAGGCTCATAGACAGTAAGACAATAAGGGTGGCAGGGAAAAACAAGAAGGAATTAAGAAGAGCTTGAAAAACATTTGACACATGGCCCCAAGGCCAAAATGAAAAAAGAGGAACTGTTGTGTTTTTTTTTTTTCTTTCAGGTTCACAGAATTTCCCTTGATTGTCCTTTCTGGCTTGGAATTAGATGGTACTTTTGTTCTAAAATCAAAGCAACAGCAAAATCATTTGTATCTGGTCTTCAGACATGATTTTGAAATGAACGAACTGAAACACTGAACTAACTTTGTTTTTTGACATTCAAAAGGAGTCCCTGAATTCAGCCAGGGCTGACCAACGGCCACAATTGTCCTCAAACTGCAGCTTTTGATGCAGGCTTCAGTCTCCAAGGCCTGAGCTGGGAGCTCTCATCATTTCTTCCCTCTCTCTCACTCATTATTTTTACCTTTACACTGGGAAAACTAAGATAAGCGGGGTTTGACCTTGTGTTAATTAGGTACCTGTCACTGTTATAATCAAGACAGAAAAAAAGCAGAAATGACTGTGTGATATTACATCAGTAGTTCTGTTTATATACTACAGGATACTACAGGGCACAAATCACTAAGTTTAAAACACCACATGAAACAGCTCATACAAAAGTGAATGCCAAAAAGTCAAAACAACAACATTTTTAAAGACTAATAGATTGTTCAAAATATATATTGATTATATTCATTACAGGAATTTGTGACTTTAAATGCTGTCTGTTGTGGCATCAATATCTGATTTTGAAAAGAAATTATTTTTATGGAAAAGTCACTATCACTACAGAGATAGTGTGTGAACTGGCCTATTTGACATTTTTTCACTTGACCCTGCACTAGGTAGACAGGAGCATATGTTCATATTAAAATCCCTCCATTCAGATGAACACTGGTGAGGCCACAGCTGAAGTACTTGGTCCAGCTTCAGACAAGTGTTGAGAAGGTTGTGGGTGCCCGGAGCAGGGCTTAATGGAGAACCATAAAAACCATCAAGAGTCTAGAAAAATATGACCTCTCAGGAAGGATTGCAAAAATTGCATTTGTTTAGCTCAGAGAGAGGAAGATTAATAGAAAGCATGATAGCAGCACTGAAGTAGGTGAGGGCCTGCAACAAAGGACTAAGCTTCTCATTACATCCACTGAAGATGAAACTACAAGTAACGGACAAGGGAAATTTGGACTAGAAACTTTGCAGGTTTTTAGGTGCCTGTGTCAAGCTGATAGCGTAACAGCTGGAAGCTAGTGTTTTAACCATTTTCCTGATGAGGATGTAAGATATTCCCACTCAAAAACCAGACCAATACCCAAAAGGCTGTAGCTGGGAGCAATTACCGAAGAGGTGTCCTGAGGAAACCTGTACATGTTAATCCCCTGCCTCAAGGCTATAAAGCAGAATCTACAGGTGGCATTGTTATATTATGTTTTTTTATTGTATATTATATTATGGTTTTTTGTGTGACCCTGGGCCTTTGCAATTATACACAAGTCATGGAGAAGTCAAAGTTGCTGTCTTGCTTTCTGTCTTTTCACACCATCAGAAATAAATAGTGATCTTTTTCCAGGAAGCAAATGATAATTCTGCCAGCCCCCACAACCATGATAGAGCCTCCTGTAACAGCTGCTTCAGCAATATCTGTGGGAAGACTGTACACTTCATCTCACATTTTGTCCTTTCTGCAGAAAGTTATAGCTGTCCTTGTGAGAAAAGCTGGTACTGATATTCTTAGAGTTCCCAATAAATAGCTTCTGCCTGACAATGTACACAACCTGTTTACTCTTACCTTGGAGCTCTGTTGTCTATTATGTTTTCTCTTTCATTTATTGCTGCTTCATCTCTTCATTCTCTCATCTGATCTTTCCCCAGGCCTGGTGTAGTTCTCGCACTTCTCTTATTTCTGTTTTAGGTCTGCACCCATCTTTCTTCACTGGTTCATAACTTTCTACCCTAAACCTTGAAATAAATTTCTTTCTTCTTTCGTAATGCATTTTTGTGTAAAGGGCCCCACATCTTCCAAAGAAAAAAAAATATGGTTTGCCTAGACAAGTAGTTCATCTCCCATCAACCAGTCATTGC